AACCATTTCCAGCATTCTTGGTGCTTTAGGACGTGACTTTTCAGGTTGCTGCCTCATCATACGTCCATAATTCTGTTGAAATCGCCTTTGTTAAGTCCTGGTCATTTCATTGAAAGGTACAACTCGTCCTGCATTATACTAATATGAGTGCCACATATTAGGTTGGCAAGGCTGTGACCTAAACGATCTTTCATGCTTTATTGGCCTGAACTGTCTTTCTAGAGGCGGTCCTCTATAAAACGATGTGACTTGCCTCCTAACGGGCTGAGTGTTTGGAACAAACTCAGGGCGATGGTGGTGCTGCTATATTCCTGGTTTCTCAGTATTTGCTCTTATTTCTCCTTTACAACTGGCACACAAAACATCTTCGTCCTTCATGGGTTCCTTTCCTTTAATACGCTTAAATACGCTGGTATGTGGCTCAGGGTCTTCCTCCTCATCATCGATAACCAACTTGAATCTTGGCGACTTATTTTTAAAACTGGTCGTCACCATATTTACTTCAAGTGGCTGTGGGAAAGGATTTTCATCCACTGCCATTTTCTTCTTGTCTTCAAACGTGATTCGTCCTGACTCGATAACGTCTTGGAAAACATGACGGAAAACCAAGCAATAATTAGTCATATGTGACCATGCATTATGCCACTTACAATATTTTTTACCCTTAATTTGCTCAGGGCTTGGCAATTTGTGCTTATCGCTCAACTTTATCTGCTTATCCTTATACAGTTTATCGAATATAAGGTCAGCCTTAGTTACATCGAACGAGAACGTTCTAACCTTTTCGTTTTCTCCTTTTATAGGCTCACTCCTGGCTAGCTCTCTAAGCTTGGCCATTATGGGACAAGTATATACATCCCCTTTGATTAGTTTGGCCAAACATATTTCAGTTTGATCGTAATACTCATCATTTATGGTATGAACACCAAAGTTTGGGTCTTTGTAATAAGTCCCCTTACTAGAATTCTTCATTTGCTCATCTTCTCTTATCAATCGTTCATACCTGATTACATTCGCACTAAGTTGGAATAGGTCAGGGAATTCCCTATCCTAGAACTTTTTCTTTAAATCAAAAC